AACATACAACCCAGTGCAACAGGTCGGTCTTCATGTCCTACCGTGGCATATAGCCGCCAAACGAGAAAATTGTACTTTCAAAATAATAATAGCAATAACAACACCTTTTTGTAGCTATCGTGAGCTGAGACCTGGTCCATTAGCTGGAACACGCGGCAACGTCTCTGCATCTTCCCCCTCCTAGGCTCTGAATTAGAGCACAGACGGTCAGAGTTGCGTAGAGACTTACTATGGAACTTTGAATGGAGACCTGGGTAGATCGATAGAGTCTATAAGGTTATTTACAAATATAGATAGCAAAACTGCAACCTGCATTTCACAAGCAACTTATGAGCAGGTAAAGTTTGTAATGGTGCAGTAGGGTGGAGGCTTGGTGGTGAGCTGTGAAGCATAAGCGAGGAATCGCATACGTCGAATCGAGTGGTGGTTCAGTGGTAAGGTTCGACGTTCGACGACTCGATTCGACGTATGCGATTCCTCGCTTATGCTTCACAGCTCACCACCAAGCCTCCACCCTACTGCACCATTACAAACTTTACCTGCTCATAAGTTGCTTGTGAAATGCAGGTTGCAGTTTTGCTATCTATATTTGTAAATAACCTTATAGACTCTATCGATCTACCCAGGTCTCCATTCAAAGTTCCATGGTAAGTTGGCGGACTTTCCCTGGTTAGCACCATTCATTTGTCATTCATATCATTGTTGATGACAATAAACCTCGAAACTGGAAGTAATTTCTTTCCGCAGGCTACTGGCTTCATGAAAGCCACATGAATAGCAGTGAACTTTGAGAAGCTGAAATTCGCCACGCTTCCAATTTTTACTCAGAATCAACACTTGAAAGTTGCTTGGCCCGGACACGGACCTTATGACCATAATGAGTAGAGTGTGCAAACTATAAGAACGGTATCCTTGATCTCATTGGTCCACAACATAATCTGTTCGTTGTTCTTCGAACTTCCGGAGCCACCTTTGGCTTCCATCGAAGCACAATTCAAGTTTGTTGTATCGACAGAGTGAGACCTATCCAAGCGGTACCCCTCGTTAGTGTGCTTCCTGTAACGCTGAAAGAAGATACATCAATACGGGAAAAACGAGATGCTGCTGTCTTGGCCTAAGCGAGCAGCATAAATGCGTTTTGAAAATCACACATACAGGGATCAGTGTGTTATCCATAGATTTTGATTCGGAGATCTAAAAGATTTTTAGCGCTACAGCTCATAGTAACAGACCTATTCAATGTATGGTGCCCGCTAGAGCTAGTTCCCCTCTTCTCAAAATACCAGTCAGAAAAGTTCATCAGGTATGGTTTGAAGAAACGAAGCATATTCTGAAGTCATATTTGAAGTCACAGCGCTTCATGCTGCAGCGTTCTTTGACCACCCTCACTTGCAGTCTTCCTTGCTGCCGATACGGTGCGTTCACTGGCACAGGATTTGGCGAGCCCCCAGCCCCATCCTTACCAGTTGTTAAAGCGGGTAAGCGACAATAACAGCCGTAAAACGAATGACATAAACAATATGATGCAGTCATGTCGCTTGTCGAAAGAAAAACAAGGAGTATCGTGCAAAAGCCATCCACCGTAACATGCCCCATAATCCGAACAGGCAGAATTATAGAGGAATAGGGAATTTCAATGAAATACTTTGAAGAATATTCGTAATAGAAACTGTCGCACGAACTGAAAATATTCTACAGAATATTTTTCTTTGAACTTCAAAGCCTCAACTAAAACAATAGAGGTTTCTCATGAAGTGGCTCTACTCCCAAACATCACAGATTGAAAACGCTGCGATTTTTTTTCTCTTTGAAGGTACAATCAGCAAGAGATTCTTCAGTGGTCACCCTCCCCCACGATTTCGGAGTTGGACGACTAAGTTTGGAGCGGGATTCTTCGTATAATTGAAAACTGTGTGTCGAGCATGTGCCGACAGGGTACAGCACCGTAGCGTGAGACATGGGTGGGTGCGTACTTGGCGCTCGGGAGGGGAGAGAGTCGCATTTGGTCTTTGTTATGAGAGGGGGGTCGTATGTGCCGTATATGTCTTTGAGAGGAAATTTGCCGCGTTGGGGAAAATTTCTCTCGTTATTGACTTGACTTTTCGCGGTTTTTCCCGTTCACATTGCCTATATACACCCCCCCCTCCAGTTGTGGCCTCGCCAGATCTCTACAGAACTACTACTTCCGCTCGTCGAAAAACGTTTTCTAACGACCTCTTCCCCCCCCCCCCAACTCCGCTCGACGGAAATCTGGAAGGGGAACAGTAGCAAATTTGCGGGAAAATTCGGAGAAAACTGGCACTTAGCCGGTACTTGTAGGGAAGTGATAGGCAGGTGTTGGGGAAGGAGGGGGAGGGGGGAATCATTTTTTTACATCACAATGCGATACAGACGTCGAGCGCTCAACATCCTTCTAAACTGTGAAGGTTTACTGCAATCATTTTGTGAACTGCCAATATTGTTCGGATTGTTATATTTATATGAAATAATGATCATAAACAGAAATGATTTCCGGATTACGCCAAAACCCATTGAAGTATTTGATGCATTGGTAACTTCGCCCCGTTCTGTTAACAGAAAGGAACAATTAGCTTGTGTGGTCAGGAATCGCTGTACCACCTCCGCCTAAAGCGTATGCGGGAAAACTACCGTATCGTCGGTCGCTAATATATTCATAATCGAGAACATGGAAAAAATACGTGTACAAACTGCTATTTTTCCTCCCCTTTTGGGTGAAAAATCAGATGCAGTTGCTCAAAATCCTGATCACTTATTAGTAGCGCTTTGTAAGACACGGGGCGTCTCCGTCATATTTTTTATCAGTTGTGATAGCGTACACTCCGGCTAGGATTCGGCAGGTTCAGATAACGCTGAGCCTATAAAGCTTAGCGCCACACCCTGTGTCTACATCACGGAGCAATGTTGTAAGTTTTTCTTATGAAGTAATGTCTCATCTCAGCTCTCCGTCTAAAGTTCTCTTTTTCCGGTCCCTCGTGATTTGTATTGCTCTTGTTGGCTCCGCAGCCGCTACTACGGGGCTCGATGCCATCCAGGTAAACAAATTATTTAAATATCACGCTAATAGTTCTGGTAGAAGTTCTGGTACATTTGGAGCGCGAAACTCAATATCTCATGGAGTTGTAGCAGTAGCGACATGATAGATAGCTGAATTATGGGCCATTGACGCTACTATCGCTGGCATGTGAGTAGGTTTTGGATAGCTCCAAAGCAGAACGTGGTAAGCTCGAAGAGTGCCAAAACAAATTCCGAAGTCATGACAACTTTTTACGTTTCTATCCAGATGGGAGTGAGGGCCTGAGGTTAGGAAGCGCATGGAGGCAGTGAGTGTTTGGGAGTTCTGCGAATGGAAAAGTTGTCCAGGCGCTTTTTCCTCCCAGCTATGTTTGACTTAACAACCCCTTGGTGGAAATGTACACCGCCGTGGTGTAAGTTCTAAGGAATCAGTGCTCCGCTTTTATACCTGGGTAACGTAGACGTTATCGATCATTACAGTATCACTACCAAGTGGAATCGATCTTTCTCCTACGCGTGTGTTCCACCATTTGCATAAATTTCGATCAGACTGGATTACGAGGCACCGTTTGCACCAACACTTGACTAATTTTGCCTGGAAGTGCAAGTACACCCTAAAGTGCAGGTGAACTAGATGTCCCAAGCCTTCGACCAGAATTCAGATGTTCCTGGGTCACAATGTTACAGACTTGTTCGGTGGGGTTGCTATCAGAAGCCTGGATCTGGAGTGGCGCTCTCCTCCAGTTCTTTTCAGTTGCCACCTACAACGGTCGGTGAAGAACGGGTTGCTCCGCGCCGAACCCAGCCCCTTGGCAAGCCCTGCCTTCGCATCGAACAAGGCTGTAACTTAGTAAGGCCGTTGTAAGTAATAATAACGCTGTGACTGAAGGAGGCCTGATACCGAAAGCCGATGAATGATTTGTGGTCTTTCCAAGCGCAAAAAAAACGCGACAAACGGAAAAACAAAAAAGTGACTATCACCCTTACGATCTTGTCGATAGGATTTTGACCATCAAAATTTCAACTATGGAAAAAAATCTCGAAGCCTCCACGGAACCTACGCTTCTGTATAATTGATTGAACTTACAGGGGACATCGACTTCTCAAGATGACCATAATAAAAGTGCTTGAAAGACGACAAAAGTTGTACTTTTCGACCTCTTATTTAACCAGTTTTCGTCAGCCCCAAAACAGTCATTGTTCGACAAGCTGAGAGCCGTGATGCTTAATTTTCGGCGACAGTAACAAAGAACTCGTCACAATGAATTGACGCATGAAGACCAGTGATAAGATAGCGATGGGCTCCCGAAGTTAACAAAGTCCCCACGGGATGTAAATCATGCGTAAAGTTTGGGAAAGTAGACACATTCTGTACAGGGGACGCCATCGCGTTGTGATCATTCGCTGAAAAATACGACCCCTCCCTAATTCTTTCCTCAAATACGACCCCTCCCCTCCCCATGCTACCTACCACTTTCCTAGATTTTCCCAACTTCCTACCACTTTTTCCGCTTTTTCCCAAAAAAATTTCTTCGGCCGAAAAATTTCCGTCGAGCGAGGAGGGGAGGGGGGGGTATATACCCAATGTGAAACAGGAAAATTTCTCAGATTTTCCCTAACCTCCTACCAGTTTTTCCGAAATTTCCTTCTGGTTTTCCCCAAAATTTTGCTGTCGAGCGGGGGGGGGGGAGGTCGTCAGGATTTAACTATCATTTTCAACTATCGGAAATAGTAGTTGTATAGATCTTTGGCAGTCCCTCTCTCAACAACGGCCAAATACGACCCCCCCCCCGTTGTGATCATCACAACGATGGCGTGCCCTGACTCGGTAGAAAGTATAGTCATGCGAGACTCCAGTTCAGGAGATATTTATGCGGCCCTCTGGCACGATCGAAGGCCTCAGCTACTAACTCAGTAACTAAAGTAAGTAGTGAGTAGTTAGCAACAGGTTCTTTCTTGTTTAGTCGATGTCATCGAGCACGTTCACATGCCTGAAACAGAACGGGTACAGCTTCTTCATCGCTCGTGCTTGGGAAAGCGTTGGAAACTACGATGAGACAGGAATCCAGAATATCAAGAACGCCCGAGCAGGTAAAAATTTTTCAACAGCTTCCAGCTTAACTCGCCGAAACACCTCACTGTTGTTGTGGAGTCTGATGCTTTTTCCTTGGTGCTACCAAGGTCATTGGGTGGGACCCTCTAGTAAGCCTGACGTTTCAACACACAACCAGGGTACAGCACAACCATCTCACACATCGCGATGCTGTACTACCCTGCACACAATCACCCCCTTCTTCT